TACTTTTTAAGAAAAATATAAATTAATTTATTTCATGACTGATAATAACATTTTTTTCATTCTAATTACATGTCATTGTGTCTCTGTGAAATATAGCTTATTAAGCATATTTGATATGTTAGTTTAAATTAAAATGTTTTAATGCTAGCAATAACAACATACTTGACAAGATTAATAAATTTATACTTTCATAATTTGTTTTAAATAATCATAATTGAAAAAAATTTCTAAAATTATATTCATTTCTTCCTAATAGCTTTTAATTGTTTAATTATTTATCTCAATTATTTAACTATTTAATTAACTATCAATGTATTTAGTCTGGTGATTGGAACATACTAATGCTATAAGAACAAGGAAATGCTTATGACGTAAACTCTTTTCATCATCTATTCCAGGGATTCTATGTTCTGATTTCCATCGAAAACCAAAATTTGTTTTCCACTTTCCAACTTTTTGTAATCCTTGACTTCCTAGATTTACGATGTCCAATTCGAATTCGCTTCGGAATCCAGCCGTGTCGAATTTTATCATACCGCTCAGTCCATGTATTTGCTCCTATATATAATTTAAAAGTTTATGCAAGTAGGCTTCTTGTGCAACAAGACTTTTTAATAATTCCAAGATATCCATATAGTTTCAAATAATACCTTATTTACTGACATTTAGATATATATTATAAAGATTTTTTTCCTTTTGCGTTATAACATACTTATTTTGTATGCAAAAGTTACATTACGAGAAGAAAATTATTCATAGTTGTTGAAACATTATTAATAATATTATAAATTATTTTTAAACATACACATACTTACATAATGAATTTATCCTAAATATGTACATGTATTTTTTAATAATTATGAAAAATATTAATTTTGTTTTATATTGTGTATGTATAAATGCTAAACGATAGTCACACATACGTTTCGTATATAATTACTTAAGCTGAAACCGTGTCCCCAAATTTCCGTTCCGTTGCAAAATAGCGCTTTAAAGTTTTCTCCTTTGATGCTATCGCGTAATCGCGCGTAACCGCTCGCGAAAAGTTGTATTGCATCATAAGCGAGTGCCGTTTCCACTTTTAAATGCGAACCATTTGGCAAGCTCCAATTAAGAGGTCGAAATTGGAGGATACGTTGAACAGTTGAACTTTCCGGATCAATTAAACGTATCCCTGTTAAATTCACTCCGGAGTATTTATACGGTTCTAAATTCAGAGTCTGCAAATCCTAATAGTCGAATGCGATTATATGTTATAGCTAATGTATTTGAAAAGCAGATAAAATTTAAGAAATTTATATGCATACATCTAAACATATTTATCATATTTAAGTACTGTGACGTTGCACTTTCGCTGCATCATAATAACCTTCCCTTGCTACAGGATGCGGATCCGCGTTTTCAATTGAATCTGTTGCACAAAGTAGCCTTCTCGAAATCTTTAAAGGGGCAATTTTCGCGTACTTGCAGACAATCGTCGTTATTTTTAATTTTGGTATCTACTTCATTGTGCGGAATAATGATATCAAGAGACATCTGCAATGGAACTTGAGATCGAGGAAGGGACCAAAACGAAAAGACAAAGAACTGCAATCGCATATTGCACCAGCGCGATTTTAAATAGCCATGATAGAATCGTGCTCGTTCGTGACGGATGACAAACTGATTTTGTCGCCCGCCAGAAGAAGATGACTGAAACGCAATTTTCAGGATCAGTTCAACTCGTGAGAAACCACACCAAAGGAGTGACCTGCCGGAACGAACGCAAATCACAGCACCAGGAAAATGTGTTCTGTGATCTGTCGAGAAGCGTCCCGAGGTAACGAGAAAATCGCCAGCTAATTGGCAAATCTTATTGCTTATGGGAATGCACGCACAGGATCAGACATCAGTCGAAATTCTCGCTCTCTTTCGTGCGACCAGCGATCAAGGCAAGAAATGAGAAAATACTAAGCGACTCATGTGGCGCATCGTCATTGGGATACCGTCATTGTCATTTAATTTAAGATAAATTCCTGTGTTTTGTCCTTTGTCCTACCGTTGGACAAACAAGTTGGTCCCTTCGTATTCGTGTCCTTTCTCGCTGCTATTTTGAGTTTTATAATTTCCATATAAATCGACGGATTGTGCCGCTGACGTCCAACTTTAGTGCCCAAGTTTAGTGAGAATCTAGGGAGAATAAGATGCGAGATCTTCGCATCTTATGCTTTTGATCCGCATTGTTATGACGCGAGCGGGAGCACGTGACAGTACATAACGAATTTTTTTCATAAATTGAAAATTTGAATCTTTATGTTAAAATATTTTTGATTTTTATAATTATAATATATTTTGCTATAATTATATTAATTATTATTAATTAAATGGAATGTTAGAAATTATGAAAAAATTTGACTTCTTACCATAGAAGCAATAATTATTCTATATCCTTCCGACAATATTCCGACTTGTAGTGCTTGTTCGAGAACAGATGCAAGAATATTGTATGAACAATCGATCACAATATTTCTGTATTCGGACATTTTGACTTCTTTCATGGCTTTCCTGTAAGTAAATCGTCTTGTTAATTTTTGGGCAGTGTGTTTTTTCAGAAAAAAATCTCGGCAATGACGAGGTGCGTGACTGTGCAAGTGACGTTTGCTTCGTATCCAGATAGTCGTATCGTAAATCATCGCGATATTTTCTGGCGTTTACGGCAGGGCTAAATAATGGCACAGGTGTATAATAACTTTGTTTGACAAACGTCGTTCGCGCATGTACGCGAGCTTACACGAGGAACGACCTATTTATTCGCACATGCATACCTAAAATTTAGTCCACTACCTAAATGGAACACCTTCGCGTTAATGGTAGTCGTATTTGGTAACTTTAGCAAGCGGTTCATGCGAATCAAGCTATCCGCATTGTCGTAAAGTATCGCATATTCTTTCCACTTGTATTCTTCTATTAAATCTTGAAAAAACTAAATAATTTTTGAAATTAATTTTAACGTGAATGTTATCAATATAATAATCAAAATTTATTTAATACAAAAAAATATTAATCTCCTTTTATTTCAATTCTAACTAAATGATTAATAAATTTAATTACCAAACAACCAACAATGCTTGCAAGCAATTAAAGTAAAACGCAATAAATTTGGAAATGTTATATCTAAACACTCAGACAATAAACGTGAGGATTTTTTATAACTGACTAAACTAATTTTTTATTTTGGTTTAAATACTAGTTTGATTTTACGATAAAAAGATTCCAACTAAAAATTGACTGCAATTATTGTAAATTATAAACAGTTTGTTTATAAGTTGTTATAGATTTAGAAATAAGGACAAATACCACGGAAAGTATGTCGGAGTGTGGATATAGGTTTATTACATTGCTGCGTTTCGGTTCGGAATCCCATCTGGCAACGATATGAGGTATGTCCAAAGTATCGCACATACTCTGAACGTAGCTCGCTGTCGACTTGTCCTGGGGACCAAATATTCCGGCCACTTCGCTGCTTACCAATTCGCACGCTATATGTAATATCCAGAAATACATAATGTGATCTCACATATTTTGTACTTTTTGCATTTTGACGAGTAGTTTAAATGTAAATAAATTCAAATCATTTATTATTAGATGAAATCTTTTTGCAAAAATTATCTTTCGAGTTTGTAATATATAAATAATATTTTGAAAGAAAAGGATTCATACAATATCGCAAAATTATGGATATATGTTGCAACAATGAGCATTATGTTAATATTTTATACATGTCATGTATAAAATACACAAAAGTGTTTGAAAGATGAAAAAAGTGAAGTTAAACCAAGCGCGGAAAAAGATTGTGCTTACGTAAAAGATGATACCTATGTTTGCTACTTGGAATGCATTCTTATTGATTTTTTCTGTTTTGGGTATTAAAAATATGTCTTTCGCGTGCTGGGCGGCAGTGAAGTTCTTATTTACCGCTTTGATTGATATTTCAAATGCCTTTTGAATCATCTCATCACTGTCGAATAAACCTCCTGCGATCATTAAATATCATCGATACATTGGATTGATTATTGATATTCTGTCATCTTCACTCGTATATGTTATTGTCTATGGAGAAACACGGCGTGCTTACCGATAGGTATTCTTCTCGGAAATCCCAAAATATCGGGTATAAATGCAACAGTGACGTATAGGAGTAGCATTTCTCGACCATTCTAAAAGAGGATTGTTTTAATAGTAATAAAATTGGAGAAATTAATAGATACAAGATATACAGAACAGAGATCTTTCCATTTTTTTTTAAATAAACATTTAATTTAGAGAAATTTTTAGGATGAATCAAAATTGAATCTGCTCTTATTTGTTATTCCATATTTCCATTGCGTTAGTACTATTGCCCTGCTATCCTAGATGATCTAAACATTCAACCTTGCTGATACAGTACGTACACACAGCCAATGTGATATATTTAGACACTTCTTGCCTCACCGTGCCAACATATTATTCTGCAACAGCTTCTCTCAATCTATCTGCTGAAAACAACACT